AAAGCAGTGATGATCATTGGTATCAAAATGGCTACTGTTTCAAGCTATTAAGTTTTGAGGTGGTTAGTTACTCAGGGACAGATAATGAAAATGGCAGATCTGAGTGCATGTGTGGGGGGTACAGGATATCTAGTCATGGATTTTGTCTAGCTCTGTAGCTTTGAGTAACCTCCTGGAATTTCTGTTTCCTCATCTCCACAATGACGATAATGCAGCCCCAGCATCTCTCGCAAGGCAACTGGGAGACCCATCTGAGATCTCTTGAAGGAAAGGACTTCATAAACATTAAATCACCAAGCAAAATGCAACTGGGTGCGAGTCACATTTGTCTCCTTTACTGAGCTCAGCAGCCATGAACACACATCCAGCCCTCCTATGTCTCTGCCTTTGAGGATGACAATCTTTTACCTAGTGAGAAGGAGCCTCCTTTCTAAAGCGTTCTTCCTGACGTTCTTCCTCAGACCATCCTGAAGAAGGAAGACACAGAAGGCTGGAGGAGTGTGGGGGCCAGACTGCCTCGGTTCAAATCGTGGCTCTGCTACTCACTGCTCGTATGATTTGGGGCAAATTCTTCAACTATTTTTAGCTTTAGTTTTCTCATCTATAAAAAGGGATAATTGTGGCATCTACCTCACAGGAAGGACATGAAGATTAAATGAGACGATACATAAGAAGCGCTTAAGCCTAAGTGGTGGTTATTATCATCATTATGTTTTTTACTTTTTTAAATTTCTAAAATTATCATACAGTAAAACTGACAATTTTGGTGTACTGATGTATAAATTTTCACATGTATAGATTTGTGTGACCACCACCCAAAGTGGGACACACCAGGGTTCCTCACCTAAAATCCTCCCTTGTCAAATTCTGCTTTCACCCCTAACCCTGACAAATGCTGATCTGTTCTCCATCACTAGAGTCCTGTCCTGCCAAAATTTCATATATATCGTACCATATGTCACTTTTTAAGACTGGCTTTTTTTTCCCCACTCAGTTTAATGCATTTAGGATGTACCCAAGTTACCGCATTCATAAATATGTTATTCCTTATTAGTGCTGACTAGAAGTCCACTGTTTGGCTGTACTGTGGTTGTCTGATTACAGTTATTTTTAATAATTATTTTTATAAGCCAAGAAAGACTTCAAGAAAGGAACCAGCCAACCGCTGCTACTGGGTTCTAAGGCTCCCTGGGAAAATGCTAGTGATTGCTGAAACCTACTGATTCCAAGCTGCATTGGACCTGGAAGTCCACCTATGCCTCACAGTTGACAAACAAGAGGACTGAAGCTCAGAGACAACTTTTCTAATGTCATACAACACTGGATTTGAAAGCAGGTCTCATTTCTCTTCTCAATGTAAAACATTTTCCAGATCCTAAGAGGCAGTGCCACTAACCATAGGGGTCTTATGCTCCCTCCCTACCCATGAAGGACTGGTTCCAGGACCCCCACAGATACCAAAATCCATGGATGTTTAAGTCTCTTGCATAAAATGGTGTAGTATTTGCAGATAACCTACAGAAAAGTCTCCTGTACACATGACATCTCTCGGTTACTTACAATACCTAACACAGTAGAAATGCTATGGGAATAGTTGCTACTGTGTATTTTAAAATCTGCATATGTATTGTTGAATCTTTTACTGTTTTTGTCCTCCCAAGTATTTTCAATTCGAGGTCAACTGAACCTGTGGATGCAGAACTGGCAAATACAAAGGGCCAACTGTATACGCTTCTGGAACCCTATAGCTCCGACTGTTTCCCTGCAATTCCCCTTTCTACCATCGGGAAACGTAAATCTCACGAAGCCCCCCTAACTACAGACCAACTTCCCGTCTTGGGACCACATGTGTCACACTGAGCGGGAAGTGACACTACTGATCCCTGAGCTCAGTGGGATCTGACCCTGCCTTTACTGGACTAGGGCACCTCAGCAATCATTAATAGGCAGACTGCGGTCCTGACCCCAGTCAGACTCGCTTCCCAGCTGGTCACTTACTGCTTTGAACTGGCTTCACTGCAGCAAAGCAGAACTCTGATTCACTCCCCCTGGGGCTTCAGGACTCCTGTCCTCAACTGGCCCCAGACACAACCCTAGTTCCACATCATTTTCTCCAGAGAAAGAGAAGCTCAGGGAGCCAAGGGGATCTCACAAGTCAACTCTAGGCTAGAGGCAATTTTCCTGGAACCACAGACCTCCTGCATGGTACTGGGTCAGCTGGACCCCTGACAGGTCACGGAAAGTGGGGAGGAGGGAGACTCAGAGCATGCCTATGACCCCTGGGGGCCATGCCCCCCATCCTGGCATGGGGCCCACAGGCCCCCACATCCAGGCCCAGCCCACTCATGAGAACCCGGCTCCCTGCCCGGGCGGCTGAACTACCGTAACTCCATCGTGGCATTTCATCTGGAGCCTGAGCATATGAGTAATAAATGTGTGAAAACATGAAACTAATATTCACAATTACTTTACAAGATAAAGAACTTGAAGGAAAAACAGCTTCTGTGTGCCCTGCCGTCACCATCAGGGGGTACACTGTGAAAAACACGGAGTGTCGCCAGAACCCCAGACTTCATCTCTCCAGTGAGCCTCACCCCCGCCAGCCGCTGCAAGCCTCCTTGTTATTCCTTAATTAACAGGGCCTCTGTGCGTCTGGACAACCTGAGAGCCAACTGGGACCTCTGACCCTCTCCTCTCCCACAGGCAGATCCGGGCCATTTTAGCCCAGTTTAATCAGTGTCTCCAGGTCCAGGCAGGGGCCTGGAGTGGGGAGTGGCAGTCTCCCTTCAGGACATCCTGCCCCCCTCCTTTCCCCTGTGGTCCCAGCAGGGTTCAGGCTCTCATTTCCCCTCCCCCCATTTCTTTTCTATTGGGGCACAATGTACGTACACTGAAGCAGACCAATTTGAAGCCTATGGCTCACTGAGTCTTAAACACGTGCACGCTCATGTAACCACCACCGAGATCAAGAGGTAGACTGTGTTGCCAGCACCCAAAGAGCTACCTGTGCCCCTGCCAGAAAATGTCCTCTCCCAAGGTATACCCTTTATAGCAGAGGTTTATTTTGAATTCAGGCTCTTGTTAGCTCTCCCTTAAATCACTGCTAATTAACTTTTTAATTATTAGACTGCCTCCTTCTGGCCCCTGCTTTTCTCAATAATTATCTGTCCCTATACTGCCAGATTTATAGTTCTAAGTTAAAGCTCTGAAGCCCCGTGGAGGGGTGCACTGCAGCCACACACAGAGCCCACCCACCCAGACCCTGCCTCACCTACTTTGTGCTCCCCAGCCCAAAGGACCCAACCACTGCTCTGGGAGCCCAACCTTTGCTCTGGGAGCTCACCCCCTGCTCTGCAGCTCTGGGCCTTCTCTCCATAGGACGTGACAGAGGCTCTCCACATTCCAGCTCCTCGCCCAGTTCCCACCATTCAGACCCGTACCCATTCTTCAAAGGCCATTTCATCCAAAGATCTTTCTCTACCTGTCACAGACATGGGGGTACTTCTTTGGTGGTCCCATGGTGTCTACTTCTCAGATGGCGTGTACGAGACACGGCTTCCTATGAACATGTATCCTTGCTAGATGATCAAGTTTCCGAAGGCTGAACTTCTGAGATTTCTCAAACTAGTAAGGCTTTAAGACATGTCAGGGAAGGGAGGGAATGACTTAGGGTTTCTACCTCCTTATTTGGCCAATAGAAAAAAAAAACTATCATCCATTATCAACACCATTTCATTAAAGACAAGACAGTGGAGCTAAAAATAAAAACTCGAGAGACAAAATCTCAGAAAAATACAATGGTTAGATAGTCCTTCAAAGGGAACATGCTGATTTATGAAAAATTCACCACATTGCCCTCATTTTTCACACTTGGTATGTCTAGAGAAAATTCCGTCAGACGACTGGCTCCAGTGTTTGGAGTAACATGCACACGAAATGCTCAGTAAGAATTAAGTTCAATGGTCTAGTCCAGGTGTCACGTGGAGCAAAGGGAAGGAGCATTTCAACACTGCCTTCATCTCGACACACGGACCTGGACACCATGAACGTGGCCACAATGGGGCAACACCCCATGACAAGGAGGACTGCAGGACCCACTCATAGCCACGTGACAAAATCAAGCAGCAGTCCTAACATGTTACAACTCGTGTGCAGACAGGTCGTGGACCTTGCCATCTGCCCAGGTGACTAACTCATGGTCACGAATCCCACCTTGGTACAATGGATAATAACAAACTTCTGAAATGTGTATTAGAGCAAGTGGGGATGGGATGGTGAGAAGAAAGGGTCTTGGCAGTCGGCTGCACAGGTTATGCAAGGCACAAGGGCGACAGCCGGAGAGTGGGCAGGGACTGCAATCTCACCTGTGCTGCACCTGCCAAGCCCAGGTGCCTTGGCCCGGGGCACATCGACTCATAGGAAGAAACACCCTTTTCTGATTTGCACAAAGAACCAAGACTTCATTAATCCAGACTCTGAACTTCAATTCAAGGCCAAGAATATGTCAGATCATTCATATATGTGTATGTATGTGTGTGTATATATATATATGTATATCTCAAAAATGGTAAATTTTATGGTATGTGAACTAGATCTCAATAAAGCTTTTATCAAATATGCATGTGTATGTACGTGTACACCCATATGCACACACACATCTAAGTAGACTCTTACTCAGAGAGTCAACGAAGAAAGAAGACCGAATGAAGAAGGTATTAAAAATATTTAAAGGTATCATTTTAAACACCATTTCTACATAAAGTTACATTACTTATATATCATTAAAACTTGAAAATATTTTAAACACTTCTGCCAGATTCTGGGTTTTTATTAATTTAGGTATAAGCTTTCATAGTAATCTTCCCAAAAATCATCTACTCATCTCTGACTAACCTAGCCTGGCTTCTCCCTATCAGTTTGTATTAGTTCAGATTGGTTTGGTTTTATTGAATTTTCCGTTTTTAACTTTTAGGCAGAGAAATTTACAGTTGAACAAGAGCTGCAATGTCTGCAGATATGCAAGTTAAATCCTCTAAATATCAACAGCACACGCAGTCCAAACTTCCTTCTGGTCATCTTGTGAAGGTAGGTATCCCCGACAGTCTTGGATAAAAGTGTAAATAAACTTCACTCAATCATTCATTCAACAGACATTTATGGAATACCCACCAGATCTTGGGCCAATTTTCTTTGCACATCCTCAGCATTTTAACAGTTTTCAAATGTAACTTACATTTTGCAACCAAGTCTGAATTATGACTGAATGATCACAGCAGGATATCAGTAGAATTTGTTTTTCAGAACAACAGAACATTGTGCCCTAAGAATGAGCTGTCCCTTATCCAAGTCTTCACACCACCTGTGTATCTGGCTCCCAAAACAGACTCTCCCCCTGCTTGGCTGGGATGCCATGCCAGCAGCCACACTGTCTTCCTACCTGTATGGTGGTGTTGCCGCCTTCCAGAAGGGCAATGGCCAAGAGAATGCTTTCATGAAATACTCGGTCACTGGATGCGTTCATTATGAGGTCAATTACCAGATTGGAGGCCCCCTCCTTATCAAGGTGACACTGAACTTCGGCCAAGCTCATCTCCCCCCTGCTCATGGAGCTGGATCCAGAACCTCCCCCTAGGAAGACAGAACATTGTTTTTACTAATCACAATCAGAGCAGCTAATGTTCACCACATACCTAAAACACACCGATACTTTATGCACTAACCCCCTTACCCATATTATTTCTTTCAACCCTCTTAACCCCCCCTTATTAACATGGAGAGATGAAGTCACCTGTCCAAGGACACTCTGCTTGTAAGCAGCAGAGATGGTACTTCAACCCAGGCAGATAAGATGAAGAACGAGAGATACATTTCCAGTAAGTAACCTAAAGCCATTCAGCGAACCCTCCCTGACATTAAAACGCAGTAACAACTTGGGGGCAGAATTACTAAGAACTGATCTGAGAGTAAGAGACAAACCAAACTCAAACACTTCTTAGAACACTCTTGAAAATATTTAGCCTATGGGGATCACTTTGGCTCTCTCTCTAATACACCCAACCCCCACACTCACCCTCATAATTTATCTGTTCATTCAGTCATTCAATATTTACTCAGTACTTAGCATGGAGCCAAGAGCTGGGGCTAGGGAAGTGAACATGGCAGAGTTCTCATCCTCACTGTGCTTGAAATGAGATGCACATACTTAAGAAGAGAGGACATAGCCATTTAGCAGGATGGATTCTATGTCTGAAAAGTACAGATTTGAGGGCTCTCCTTGCATTACTAATGGCAATAATGAAAATATTAATGCATGTAGAGAAATAAGCTGATCACTTTCAGAAAGTGGAAAATCTTCAGTCCTTTCCTGCAGAGCTCAATTCAAATGCTACCTTCTCTACACTGCTGTCCTTTACTATGCCCTGTAAATCTGTGGTGCAAGGTAGAAGTCATGCTCCACGTCTTCCCTGCTCCAGCGTCTTAGAGCAGTGTCTGCCTTATATTTCCAGATCCCCCCAGGGTGCCTCTCAAGGGCCTCAAGTGATGATGCCACTAAGGAAAGTGAAGAGAAACAGTTTTGAGAACTTCTACATGAATTTGGGGGTTTTGAAACATTCAGTCTCCATCTCTGAGATGCCCTGAGAACTACATCTACATGGAAGCCTGAATGCTCCCAGGAACTGGTCAGGTACAATTTAAGTTTTCATCAGGTGAAGTCCAGCTCCCTCCCTAGAATTTGCTGGGACAAATTTATCAAACTTGGAATATTTCTGTGCTGGGCATGGAACCTGCCAAGGATCAGAAGCTGCCCCACAGTCATCCCCACAAGATAGAATCAGGCAACTTACATTTTTGCTTTGAGCGCTGAGCTCCCCTAAAAGCCCAACCTACGTAACGCCCACCGTTGAGTTCCATGTCTCTGCAACTTTTCCCTGTAATTGTGCTTAAAATTTGAAACACTTTTAAGGATCTCTTTTTAAGCACTTCTGTACAGGGATGTGTTTTTGTAAACTCCCATAAGAGTATGCAGATGCACACAGCATGGGCGTTAGAATGAAAGATACCAGATTCAAATTATAGACCAGCCATTAACAAGCCTCCATTTCCTCTGCTAAACTGAGGTGAAGCCACTACCTACTATCTAATGAGTAACTTGGAGGAGAACATAAGATAAAGAATGCAATGGGGTAGGAAAGCCCCTGGCACGCAGTTAGTGCATAATAAATGGTAGCTTCCTGGGCGGTGCCTGTGGCTCAAAGGAGTAGGGCACCAGCCCCATATGCTGGAGGTGGCGGATTCAAACCAGGCCCCGGCAAAAAACTGCAAAAGAAAAAGAGGAAATGGTAGCTTTCACTAACCTGGCTGCCAGTATCCTCATCATTTTATGGGAAGACATGAGTGCTAATGACCACAAAAAAAAATGTGCAATAAAATCCAGTTCCTTGAGTCATTCGAATAGAAGAGGAGTAAAAGGCATATCCACTCTCTCATTGCAAGAAAATGCTACTTTGCAGGGAAATATGTTTAGGCATCAATTTAACGGTAGACCAAAGACAAAACAAGTTGCTAAAAAATGCACTTGTAACACAAATTCATCTGTTGTTAAGAGTTTCAACCTGTTAGGCAGAAACATGCAGCTGTCACACGACACACTTGATTCACACATGAAGTTCATCAGCACACCACACTGCCTACCTCCTCCCCCAGGCTTGCTGGGTCCTCCTGGTGACAGCGGGCCATTGCCAAAGCTGGTAAGGCTCTCTCTTCTTCCTGAAGGTCTGATGTTTCCATAGTAACGGTTGACCAAAATTTGCCTGAGTGCCTCACCCTTAATTCAAACAGGATAACGAAATCAGGTTCTGAATCTAATGCATAACTAATTGACTAATATTCAAAAAAAAAACACAGGGGTACTCAGTTATAATTGATCCAGTTTCACTCAGTGAAAAGATAAATTATTAATAAAAGCATTTAGAAACTATGACGTTAACTTTAACACTTTCTCAGAAAACCAGATCCTTTTTTATAAAGGCAACAATCTAGAAAGTTGACTATCTGAAGTACTCTCTCACATAGTGATAAGGCAGAACAGTGATTTGAAGGACTAACAATAACAAACAGAAATCCCTTTGGGGTAACTCAATAAAATTTGGAAAACCTGAAAATTTTATAGGTCAGCTTCCATGTTGCAATATAAAAATGTTATTTTAAGTACAGGGTTTATTCCCCCATGGTCCTAAAAATATTAGGCTATCAGAACAATAGAGTACAATGATTTCATACATCCAAAGTAAGCCTTTCTCACAAAGAATAATCAATGGGCCAAAGAATAAGTAATGGTAGAAGAAATAAATTAGTGGCAGATATCAGGTATGTTCCATCGCAAATAACCATCATGAATGAAATGTCATTTTGTCTGGGATTTGCTTTAAAATAACAGAGGAGAAGTGGTAATGGGGAAGGAGAGAAATAAGACAAGATGAGGCATGAGTTGATAGTTGTTGCAACTGAGGTGCAAATGGGTGTCGTCAAACTCTTCTGACTTAGTTTGCACATATTTCAACTTTAAGTTTTAAAAATATAAATAGCCAAAGAATCCTGGACAGGGGATATAACAACTCATTCTCATAACTCTAACCACCCCCCCCCAAAAAAAAAACCTTTGATTTGTTCAGTAATGCTCGGGGACAGTGGCGAGCCAGCACATGGCAGCAGGGTGCAGTCTGAGCTATCACACTCTCAGCCATGCTCCCGAGGGACTCTCAGACCCTCTTCTCATCTGTGGGTTTCTAAAAGTCAAAGACTGGATGAGATCCCCCCCACAAACACACACTCTTTGCCGGGACAAAGTAGTAAGGCATGGAGTTCTTCTGGTGCATCATCAAGAGGGGTAAGTGAGAAGTCTAGCAGAGAGGAGAGGTGTTGGAATTTGGCAGGTCTCTAAAATAGAGATTCAAAAGATCTGAAGGGACCTGCAATTGTAACATGACTCAGTAGAATTTAAAGTGATTTGTTAATAAGCTCTAAGAATAGGTCTGGAGATTTCAAGTGGGGTGTTTGCAAAACAAGACAGGAAGTATAGACCAGGAGAGGGAGGGTAGCCTGGGGGTGGTGGGGGACCAGGAAGGAAGGAAGAAAGTCAGAAAACTCCTGTCAATCCTCAAAATCGTGTAAAGTCCCAGGGCTACACTGCCAGATTTATCTCTTCTGATAATATGTGCTGCTAGTCAAAGACTCCAGGGACAGATTGGGTTTGGGTACACAGGGGAGAGGTGGGGAGGGTTAAGAGGGGGAACTGATTTTTAAATGAATGTGCAGGAAACAGAAAATCCCAATTTTCCTTGCTCTATCTGACCCGCAAATACATCTCTCATTGTAGTTCAGCAAAAAGACGGTAAATTATCAGCTTGTGACACTTATTTCCCACCTGGACTGACGATAAATTCAAAATTCCAAGAGTGCTTCAAATGGGTAAGTTACTTGGGATGTTTCAAGTACTTTGTAAATGAACTGCTTGAAGGTGGGGAAAAATTTAGCACCAGATTCTTCAATGGCTTAGGAAACATTGCCTCTATGTTGAACATGACAGATTAAATATGATTTCCCCTCTTAAAAACAGTGATGCTTCTACTTCATTTACTTATAGTAAGATACAGACTTTGAGTTCCAACACCAAAACTGGCTGCCAGTTAACATCTTAACTCTCTAACCGGCCCCCCTGTGGCACCCTGAGAACATTGATGGAGAGGTAGATGGCTGGGCTGAGACCTGTAAACCGCAGCCAGGGATGACGGCCAATGTAGCCATCGCGACAAGAATCTAGAAAAACACAGGGTTGAATGGCCATGTCAAAAGAAGAATGGCCATGAGCAGTTGACAGACAGACGGCCCTTAAGGAAGTCCCAGCTGGAGGCTGTGATCCATGATTCCCCTTGAGTCTGGAGTGACTCAGTTAGATTTTCAGTTCTTGATGGTTGGTTTTGTATCCCCCCACCCCCACCCCGCTCTGTGGTTTTGAGGATAAATAGCAAGACCCTGGTCAGTCTGCAATCAAACAAGAGGGAGGTAAGGAAAGGAACCAGTGGACTCCAGGAACTGGAAGTCCACATGTCTGCAGCCTGGATGCCAAACTGAAGTTACAAAGGGATCTCACATTACCATTCTGCCTCTCCTTCCACAGAAAAACCCTAGCAGTTACCATAGCAACTGATGCATCAAATGGTACATTTTTCCCCATAGGAGAATATCATGAAATGTGCTCATTATGGGGAAAAAAATTCCACCCCACAAACTTTTTATTTTTCCCCCCTCTTAATTATAAGGTTTTTTTGGCACGTATTCATCTCACCTTCTCTACATACACACAAAAATTAAACGGTAAGAAAAAAAAACCAGAAAGCAAGTGGGATTTTTTTAAAGAACGGATAAGATTCATTCCTTTTTTGAAAGAATAAAGATTAAGAATTTTAGATAAAAGGGGACAGAAAGAGAACATGGATACGAATTATTAAAAGTTATGCAAATCCCTAGTGTGAAAACTTGGGTTCAAGGAAAATGCTGTTTTTCTGAGCCAGTGGTTTAATTTGGGAAAAATTAAAATCTGTACAGAAAAGCCTTCCTAATCATCTTGATATAAATTACTCAACAACACTAAGCTGTTCACGATGTACCAGGCTGAGAAATCTGATTGCAGAGATGAGAAAAAAAAAATATATGACTTCCCAAATAACATCACTTCAGCTTTAACATTTGGCTGTGCAACTCTTTTTAAAAATAATACCAGCTTTCTTTTTTTTTTTTTTTGCCAGCAGTTTACACCTACAGTATGCAAACAAATATCAGATGTTTGTCTCTGTAAGAAATTCCACACACATTATTACCTAAGACTGAGAAAAGAAAAAGTCAAAGAGTTTCATTTGTAATAAGTGTCATGTTCAAACAGCGGCAATTGGTAGATCAGTGATGTGGAGCAGTGACACTGAGCTGGGGTCCTACCTGGCCATTGCACTAAGAAGAGTTTCATTGATGTCAACTATACCAGTGGCTAACGAACCGTGTGGGAGCAGAGCCAGTGTTGAGCAAGGCACTAAGGAGTTAACATCGCCACACACGAAGGAGACAGAACTGACCTTTGTGCTTCCCGGTTCCAGCCACTTCAAAATCATGTGCTTCAAGCAAGATCACCCTCTCCTGTGAGCTGTGAGCCTCTCACACCTTAGTCAGCACCAAGGTAGTGACTGGATTTAAAAATACCTCCTCCTCCTACCCCTGTTGTTTTAATTTGCAAGGCAACTGCAACATTTAATATGCTTTATCATATTCAGCCACTGCTAAGTGCTTTTCAGAAAGTTCAAGTAGACAGCTCTAAGGGATGGGGTCTATGATCCCATTTTATAGCAGAAGAAACAGAGGCACAGGGAAGTTAAATAATTTGCCCCAAATCACACAGCTAGTGCCTGGCAAAAGGAGACATGAATTTGTTTCTAACTCCAAAGTTCACAGGCACAGGCAGCATTCAACACCAAAACCCTGAGACTCAGGACAGGAGGGATGGCTGCGTGCTTCTGCCTAAGGTCTTGAGTACTAAGATGTAAGGTAACCCTTTTTGTTTGTTTGTTTGTTTGTTTATAACTGTTTCAGGTTAACTGAGGGTGAAAAGAATTAGGTTACAATGTTTGCATTTGTTAGGTAGAGTCCCTCTTATAATTGTGTCCTGCCACCAAGAGGTGTGGCATGTACCCTAACACTGTGCCTATTAAGTGGGAACACCCCCATGTCCCTCTTTTCTCCCCTCTCCCCATTCTAACGTAATTTTAAAGGGCAGACAGGATGGAAAATGCATGAATCCAAGGTGACCTTGGTCCATGAAATAGAGGAGATACCGGATGCTAGAGGAGACGGGCTACAGCATTGCACCTTGAATTCTGCTGAAATGCCAACTTCCCAGGGACTATACTCTGGTCCCACTCTGAGGAATCACAAAGTTTCTCTCTCCATTACAGCAGCAGAATAGAAGATACTTGGGATATGGTAGGACTGAGCAGGACCCAGGTGTGTGAGCAGAACAAAGGTGCAGCCGCTACCCATATATCTCAGGGATAAATTCTCCAGTGGCCACAGCTTCAAGGCAGCCTTTGTAATGATGGGTCATTTTCTAACCCCACAACCTTGGGTAAGGTGCTTAACCTGAGTCTCGATTTCTTAATCTATGAAGTGGGGATGAAGGCTGTGTCCAGGGTCAGCGTAAGCATTAATGAAATCTGATGAATGAACCTAGGTAAAGGTCTTAGCACAGTAACTGTATATGATACGCTCTCAAAAAACCAGGACGTCTAGTTATCTTCCCAAAACCGGAAACATAAAAATCAGCATGCTCGTGAGCATGTACAAGCAAATAGAAGACGGGAGGTGATGCACAAGCAGCACCTGGAGAAGGTACCTGCCCTGTGGCCTGGGAATCTCTCTTCTAGACATCTACTGGAGGATGTACCTGTCTGTTCATTTTCTTGTCAAAGGAAAAACATGATGAACCACTTGTTCGTTTAGGGGAGCTCAGGAAGCCGTTAACTTTCACAGGTTAAAAACAACACTCAGATATGAAATGGCAAAAGCCATGTACAAAAGCTGTACACTTAAAACAGTCCAATGAACGACGCCAGTGTAGGTATATCTATCAGCACACATGCTCACGCATGTAAAATAAGGTGGGTAGAAGAAGGTATTTATTAAAATGCTAGCAGCTCTTACGGCTCTAATGGCTGGGTGCTATAACTGTGAAAATTTTAATAATTTATTATAAATTATTCACAACGATCATTAGTCATTAACAGAAAAAATAATTTAAGACTTCACCTAAGTAGAAAAAGAAGGACAGACATGAAAAGCTTACTTGGTCATTATTTGGAGGCTGGCTGGGTGGATAAGAGGCGGAACTGCCAGTCAGTCCATTCACATACAAGGCTATGAATGCTCTTGAGTCAGTTAACGCCTTAACAGTATGAACAATACTGTCTTTCCATCAAGTGTGTGGCTGAAGCAAGTGGTAAGGTCATTAGCTCTCAACAACCAAGACTCAAGGCTACGTACCCTTTTATGGTCTTCCAGCTGCCTCAGGGGTGGACTTGCTTCAGCCTCCTGCTAAGCATGTAGAAATTCCATTTTAAGTACCACACTAAGGAGACGCTACCATCTTAAGCAACAGTCACAAACAAAAAACATTGAGAGCTCATACACAGCCGATCAAAAGTTACACGAAAGGAAAACAGCTGAGTTTTTATTTCCACCCCCAAATATTCACGCTTGATTACCTGAGAGGCTGCGTAACAACTGTCCCGCTTCCCCCCACCCCAGAGCATTGGTTAAAATGGGACGATATTATGACTTTGTGGCCACCTTTATTTATGGTATAGATCATAAAAGGAAGGTTCTATATTACAAATTGTTACATTAATCGAAAAGGGGATGTAATGAAAGACTCAACTGGGCCGGTCCTGGTGGCTCATACATGCATCACTGCATAGCTCATGCTAAGGACACCAGTGCACACGCTTCTGAGCAGACAGACACGAGACCACGGCTCTCCCCACCCCACCAGCAGACAGGTACTCTAATCAAAACTATCAACAATGAAGAGCTCTGATTAGGACAATGGTTCTCAACCTTCCTAATGCCACGACCCTTTAATACAGTTCCTGTGGGTTGCAACAGGAGACCACTAGATTAGGAAATTAGAGCCTGATCCTTAGAAAATAACCACACTGCAACTTTGCTATTTGATCATGTGTTCTTATTCAATTTTTAAGATCTTCAATAGACTTCTTTCAAATAAAGTATGCTTCGCTCTACCTTGAACTGCTGTGATTTTACAAGTTTCCTAAATTCAATTTTGAAATTGGAAATAGGCTTCCCCAAAATGCTTCTATGGGATCTTAATAGACTTCAGTCCCACATTTAAGCAAGTTCAGTTAGCAGCAGAAAGAACAGAACAAAACGAAGTGCACTGTGAAACTACAAGTTTACTAGCAGCTTTTCCTAAAACTATGGATTAACATTCACCACTTCACAACTGCACCAGCTCTGCATGGGACCCAGAGTCAGTTTTGTTTAACAGCAGTAAGGTTTTAACATCCCCAAGTTTCTCAACTGAACATCACAAGACTATGAAAGTTTTATGTGGGAAACTTCAACCTCTCTTGCCTGGAGGACACTTGGTTTAGAGCCAGCTTCTTAGGACCTCCCTGCTACACCGGGGGTGTCCAACTTTTTTTTTCCCCCCACTACGTATCAGAAGAATAAGAGTTGTCTTGGACCACAGGTTAAATACACAAACACCAAGGAAAACTGATTAGCAAAAAAAAAAAAAAAAAAAAAAGCCCGTGCATACTTTTCATGATATCTGACAACACAGGTAAGCGAAAAAGGTCCTTACAAAATCAGCATGAAGCCCATGGGATGCAGGTTGGACACCCCTGTTTCTACACCGAGAGCTGCATTCACATCCCCCAGAGTCATGCTCAGTTTTCAGGCACCCTGGAAAGCTCCCTCCTGCGCTTTACTACCACCGGGACAGACACTTCATCACAACAATTGAGACACTCAACCAGGACACTGGGGAGCACCCATATTTGCTGGCACTGGCACTACAAATAATAGGTGGGCAACACACCTCTGCTGTGGAGTTCTCAGAGTCCGGAGCTGGCGGCAGCTAGTTGGGAGTAAAACGGAGCATGTTAGTCATGGCACTTGTGTCTCGTGGGCCACAAAGAAGTCCAGAGACCAACACTCAACGACACAACACAGGAGGAAGGATAAAAGATGAGGTGACCTTGCCGCACCAACCTGCTGGAGTGGGCTTCCGCAATCGAGGGGACCGAATACTTTTTAAACTAAACTGAATGTGGTTGTGCTGGAGGAGAAAACTGGCCTGAGATGGAGAAACACATTTAAAATAAGAAACCAAGAATCCACCACTAGGAGCTATGTCTTAAAAATGTAAGGTGTCCAAGGAAGAATGGCTGCACATCTGGGAGCAAGGGAGAGTGACCGTGTGCATCCCACAGAGGCCAGGCAGAGGGTGGAGATGATGCAGGGCCCGAGCGCGTGAAAGCTGTGCAGGGCCACTCCCCTGTGACTAGTGAAGGGCTGTCTCTGCATCGCTCCTTTCTCCACACCCTGCCCTGTAGCAGAGTTACGAGACCAGGCTCTCGTGCTTAGGGGCTAAAGCTTCCCTGTCCAGTGTCTCGAGGAGGAGCAGCATCTCCTGTGTTGAGTTCAGGGTTACATTGAGGATGGACATTCCACCCCGTGTTTCCCCAAAGGGCTGCATGGACCAGGCTCCCCAGCTCCATCCCTGCTATGCCACACAGACACTTCCCTCTATTCCCTAATTTCCAACATGTGGATGAGAGACAAAAGGATGTCTCCAAAGGATACACAAGCAAAGCAAGAGGACATATGTGGTGGCTATGAGAAGGATGTGCCTGGAGAAAAGGCCACTGCTGTTGTCCTCTAAAAGGAGCCATTTTGGAGCAGGGAACTGCTGCCAGACCCCACTGGGGCAGCTCAGACCAAAGTCACACAGCAGTGGCATGGCTGAATGGTATCAGGTGTAGTCTGGGGTCTAGGGACGCAGCCAAGGCTCTCACCGCACCTGTGCGACCTTGGCCTCTGACAGTGCCCCAGTGACAGAGCACAATTGATGGGGCAGAGGTTGTGTTGAAAGCATGGAGGATGAAGCTATGAAATTTGGTGTTTTCTCAATCCAGTTCAGCACTATCCATTTCATAGTTTAAACCCCCAAGGTGGAAAAAAAGTCCTCTTAATAAAGGGTTGCTACATTATGCAACTTAATGATTTCTGTCTTTTTTCTAATTCCCAATAGGTAAAATGAAATAAAGGTACCAGGGATTAAACTACTTTGCAGACGACAATGAGGCACATGTGGAGGGCTGCTCACTCAACTGCCCACAGAAGACCTTTCAGGCATGAATCCATCGCCAAGCCTCAGAGAGAAGATTCTGCCTAAAGCACTTAGCCTCCTGTTAGGGGTCGGGGGCACACAGTGCTAGAAAGGACGTGTGTGTGTGTGTGTGGTAAGCAAAGTAAAAATAGACCTCAGGTATGTATAACTTAAAAATGACATACATAATATCACAATCCAAGACTGGACTTTTAACAATACCCTTACATTCTGTATACTGAGGCTAAAGAATTATAATTGTGTAAACATTTTTGCCACCCTTAGTGCAAAATGAACACATAAGAAAAACAGAATTAAAGCAACTGCCCGTACACTTTTCTTTTTTTTAATGGGACAAAGGTCTCACTATGTTGGCCCAGGCTGCTGTGGAACTCCTGGGCTCAAGCAATCCTCCTGCTCCTGCCTGAGCCTCCTGAGTAGCTGGGAATATGGCGTGAGCCACTGCGCCTGGCTTGCCCGTGCATTTTAGAGCAGCCATTGATTACATGAAAAGAAGTATTATTTTCTAACATTTGCCTCAGCCACATTCCCACTAACACATCCTTTACAATAACCCTATAGGATCAGAACAAAAGGATTATAGGCACGGATTTACTATAAGAACCCACAGAACTACCTATCCTCTTACTCTTTTGCTAAACAAAACAAAAGCTAAAGTGCAGTGGTTCTCACCTGTAATCCCAGCACCCTGGGAGGCCGAGGCAAGTGGATTGCTTGAGCTCAGGAGTTTGAGATCAGCCTGAGCAATAGTGAGACCTCATCTCTAAAAATAGCCAGGCGTTGTGGCAGGCATCTCATCTGTAGGCCCAGCTACTCAGGAGGCTGAGGCAAGAGGATCACTTGGGACCAGGAGTTTGAGGTTGCTGTGAGCTATGACACTACAGCACTCTACCAAAGGTGTCAAAATGCAACTCTGTCTAAAGAAATAAAAAGACCCAAACACTAAAGAAAATAAAGACGACAAAATGGGAACTGGTGCATTGTCTGAATTCCCTTGCTGGAGCTCAGAATGGCCATAGGTAGCCCAGGCAGTCCTTGAGTTACAAACACCCAACTTACATACAACTCTTATTTAGAGGCTATTACACTAAGTCCCCAAATTCAAACATCCAGCTGATATAAGACTCGCACTTACAAATGGAGGCTATCACAGGTAACAGGTAAATGTACCTGTTTCAGTTTACATACAATTCAACTTAAGAACAAGCCTACAGAACGCCTATCTTATCTGCGACCCAGAGACTGCCTGTATATATCTATTTCTCAGGCACTCAGAGAGCAGGGGTTATGCTTTACAGTTATGCTGACACTCTGTTTCCTTCCTAAATCATCATACTTGATTTTGGCTTAATTCTTAAATCTTGAACTTAAAGTATCTTTCCCCCCTTTAAACTTTCATGAAGTTGTTTGACACGACAGGGGATGCTTCACAGCTTCAGGAATCAGTGTCTAACCAGAAGGACAATTTTTTAGTGCTGTCCATTTACGGAACAGACTGGAAAACCTACGAGCCCTGGACAGATGTCACATGCCCACAGCTCACCAAGAGTTTGGCTCTGGCTCCCTGTGTGGCCCTGAGCTGGTCTCGCGAACCTCTGGGCTTCTGCCTCCTGACCTGTTCAAGGAGCTCAAGGAGGCTGGAGCAGATATTCTTTAGCACTTCTTTCAGCTAAAATATTAAGGAATGCTTGGTATACTGTCAGTAAACTTCACTTCATAATATCTAACAGGCAAGTTCCTTAAATAATACAACTTGGTAGGACACAAAACGTTTTCAGTCCTGAAAAGGCTGGACCATCCCTGGTATATCCCATTTGGTAAAATAACCCACAGCCCTGTATTAGCACATCTTCCTCTAAGGATTTCATTTATGCTTCCTTGAGGATAGGTTGATTTTTATAGCAATAAAATACAATTTTTGATAAACCTAAGCATTATAACAAGCCTATGTGTTCAAATAAAAACTACATGAATATCATATATAATACCCACAGCAGGAGATCATATATTTTTTTTTTTTTTTTGCAGTTTTTTGGCCCGGGCTGGGTTTGAACCCACCACCTGCAGCATATGGAGCCAGTACCCTACTCCTTTGAGCCACAGGAGCTGCCCAGGAGATCACATTTAATAAATGAATATAGTCACAATCTTATTATCAAAGTTAATTTTTTTAAAACATGAAAGCTCAAGTCCCCAGGGAACACACTTTAAGGGAGAAAACATTTTGAGGGCACGGGCATGTCTGAATTTCCCACATTTTACATGCTCTCTCCTTAGTCCAATCACTGTATTTTGGTGCTCACGCCTCCAATCAAGATGCTTCTCCCACACCCATAGGTGATCTGATGTGGCCTAGTTTTCAGCTCAGAAACCAACACTTGCCCCCATCGCCTCTGTGCATTTATTTTTTGATAGTAAGTCCTCCTTGTGTTTTTAGACAAGATCAGTAAAATCTAACTTAACAGAAAAAAAGACTCCCGATGACTGGCTTTGAAATAAAAATTCAAACCTGTATCTCAAGTCACTGGGTCCTAAGTATCCTTCCTGGACGAGGCCACAGATCAGGGCATCATAACGAGGGTCCCTGAGTAGTAACTGGATATGTGCATGGAAGACACTGTCTATTCACTTCCAACTCAGGCATAACGTGCCTAACATTTTATCAAGGGATTTCTACTATAAATGAAGGAAATTATACTTTGTCATGCTTAAATAAAAAGAAGCCCACAGACTTCCTAGGGTTTCTATTTCTGGTGTTTGCACAACAGCATCCTCCCACATCCACCCACCTTCCATCCATTATTGCATGCATACCTGTCACAGGCCAGCAGAGCGCACAGCCTGCAAACGCCCTTTGTTTTCTACTGCCCTCAACAGGAATCCTTCTACTGCCCAAGGGCTTCTAGAATCTTCCTGTGAAATACAATGTCTTGTTCTGTGGACCAGTCTGGGCAGAAACTGAATGCAATTCAAAAATGTAACTGTACTATTACAGATCTAATTATCAGCATATCGAAGGGAATTACCAGCCCTCTTGAAGAGTTCCTTTTCATTCACTCATAACCTCAGAGGGGAGAAACAAACAAACAAGCACTAAATGGGCTTGCAGATACGTTTGCTGGGCCCTGCCCTTCCTCGGCCTTTGAAAACTCACAGCAAGAGAACAGACATCTTTAAGGAAAATTGAGCTAAAATATCTAGCATTTTAGCAGAATAATTTTAAATCTTCATAACAGCTGAGGCAGTTCTCTTTACTAACCACATTCCTTTTTAGAAACAAAACTAAATAAATGTTACTTGGTTCCGACAATGGAGTTTCACCTGTATTTTATAGAACAAGTTCATCAGAACTCAATAGTAAAGTTCATTATTTTTTTTAAATGCATTCTGAAATGACTAAATGATACAACTTCAATCATTATGGAATAATATCAGCATTAAGAAAACCCTCCACAGACTCTGCAGTAGCTTCTGTGTGCTCTGAGCCGAGCCTGCTCTGTCTGTGGTTGCCAGCGTCTAACAGTAAACAGCCCTACTGCATTTATTGGCAATTACTGCTGAAGGTCACACATCAGCAGTGAGCCTAAATTCCAGGAAAAAAAGCTCTTATGTAACCGCCGCCTGAATGTTGGCAGGTGCCCAACCCAGCAGTTCACAGCAATGTAAAAAAGTAGGACACCTCCACCCTGGGTTGGGCGTCATGAGAACGCCCCCTGAAGGTGAAACTTAATCATTCTTGTGTTTCTCCTTTCCCCCCTCTGAATGTTACAACGTCCCCTGTCAAGCATCTTTTGCCTGTAGAAGCAGCTCAAAGGTATGAGAAATTAAGTTAGTATGAGTAGACGGCAGCCAACCCGGATAAGAGGGAATGTCTTTTAGCTTTTTCGTTAGAATGCAGGATAGAAAAGTCACCAGCCCACTCTAGTGGCTCCAGAGCTCCTGTGGTTCCAAGGAACAAGTGATTCAGTAGGGATCATATCGCAAATATGTAGAAATAGGCACGTCCATTGAGCTATGGCCCACGCTTTCTCAACATACCATTCCTTTCCAAAGACACACATAGGAAAACTAGCTGGACTCCTGCTCTCCTCACCGCCACTGCCCGAGGTTTGAGCACCTCGTCAGAATCATCTCTGGGATTAGTGTGGCACTTCACAGGTTGGAAAGGTGACTCACACGATCCCCGGCTGGGGCTACTCACCTGTCATTACCTAAGCTGTTACCTGACCTCCTGCTTAGGCAGAAGTCACTGATTCCACATTCTCATGATCCCATGTCTCCTCCTCTCTAACATTTCTCATGGTTCATAACCATCATTTTACATTAGTGTGTACTACTGTCCATCGGCCTTACAAAACTATAAGCTCCACAAAGGCAGATGCTGTGTCCATTAGAGCACCAGTGTACCTGAATCCTGCAATACAGTGCCTGAAACATAACAGACACTCAAATATTACTTGTATAAATTAATGTTAGCATCCCCTTATGTCCATTTCAAGCTAAGATTAGGCAGATAAGGGAACTTGATGGGGTGATGGAAATATTCTGTATCTTGATTTAGGGGGTGAATATTCCCATGTACATGTAGGTAAAAATTCCTCAAGCTCAGAGTAGAAGGAAACACTGAGGTGAGGAGTTTCTTTCCCTCCTCCACCCCATCTGTCCCTCGAGACTGGCCCCCATGGAAAGAGAAAATCAGGAGGTAACGATGGAGACTCTCTTCATTTGCCAAAAGACCAAAAATCATTCCTCTTCCTGGTTGTAAACAAAATTTTATTCTAGAAGGCAGCTGGGAAGGCCCCATCCCATGCACTTTTCTTGCAGGGAATCTATGATTGTCCTCATTTCACCCTGTTTTCTCAGCAAACTGATGGGGACTCTGAGGGCTTTTATTCAAGCCAGCCACTGCGCATCTCCCCAGAGAGCCCAATTGGCCTTCATCACCAGAGGGCGGTGGCCTTTCCTCAATCAGGGGACTATGGGCTGCCAGACAGGCCTCACACCCTCTCAGGGGCCTTCCCACTCATGTTTAGAATCTAGAACACTGGGTGTGAGGCCCTGCCCTACTCCTGGGCAGCAGGAACACTCATTAAGCTTCTGTAGAATCCCAGCTTTGGGCTACAGGTTTCTAGGAGCAGACACCGGGAAAAAAAAAAAGGCTTGGCGGGGAGAAAAAACCACAGAAGCTAT